TCACCTGAAACTCAAATACAATTTATAAACACATTTCTTTTTTTCAAATTTCAAAGTATAAATATGAAGACAATCTTCAATGTAGGTATAAGAACTTATGATTGTGCTTTCATTAAGTTAGTAGACAGAAAGGAGCCTGTTCGTTTAAACATCTCATATTCCATTTTGAGTCAAATGACTTGCTGTCAGACAATCAATACAGTTTTCGATCCTCTCGCTCATCGATTTGCTATCTGGCTAACTACTGTGACTGAAAGATTGTGCATTAGATAAAGGCTGAGAGGCATGGGCTATTGCTCTTGACATATCTAAGGTTTTCAACAAAGTTTGGCATGTTAGTCTTCTCCATGAGCTTGATTCATATGGTGTATCTGGAAGAGTTTTTGAGATTATCAAATCGTTTCTTTGTAATGGCTTTATAAAGCTCATCATCAAAAGCCAACACTCTTATTCATTTCCAGTAAGTTCAGGGGTACCTCAATCTAAATTATTAATTTGATATTTATGACTCAACTTTATACTCCTGTCTTGACAAAAAGTCTTCTGTTTTAGATTGCTTAGAACAGGCAGTTAATGTTGAATCTGATCTCACTTCTTCGTGCTCATCATTTCATCTCTCCTGATTCCATTCTTCACCTCTACTAATCTCTTATTAGCCCCTGTATGTAAAACTGTTGTCATATTTGGGCTGGCTCTTCTTATGATGCTCTTTCTTTTCTAGATGAAAAATGCATTGTAAATATAGTTGGACTTGGTCTATCTTCTAAGCTCAAGCCTCTTTCCCATCATCTTAAAGTTAAATCTTTCTCTTTTCTACAAATACTATCATGGTCACTGCTCTAAGAAGCTTTTATCTCTAGTTCCATGTACTAAAACTCATTCTCGCTTGACTCTTCATTTAACAAAGCCTCATTCATTTTACTGTATCTGTCCCTGCATGCTCCAAAAACTTATATTCGTCTAGTTTTTTTCCACACACTTTAAAGCTCTTTCAACCCTTAAAACTATCTATCTTTTTTCAAACCTTTGGAGCTCTCTCTCATCTTCATGTTTTCCTGACTCATACAAACTACATCTTTTTAACTCTTCTGTTAACCGTCTCCTTGCTCTATAACTATATTATTTTTTTCTAGTAACTCCCAACTTAATAGTGGTTGCTTGCAGCCTTGTTAGGAGTGAATCAGAATAAAATAAAAAAATCATGATGGTAACCATGTATTTAGACTCAATATAGGTACAGTCATCTTGTAGTATATATGTATCAAGCAGTTGATAATCACAAACTTCATTTGGTAAACATATTGGCAAAGATTCATACTCTTTAACTCTGAATAAATGTGCAAAATAAATATATGTGCATATATGCATATGTCACAAAGTAGCAGCTTACCGCAAAATAACCAGAGTTGTCATAATTAAATAATATTTTAAAAAACAAAGGAATTTCATCAGTTTTTAATAAAGATAAAAAAAATGTATTGTACAAATGAAACTGAATCCAACTTATATTACTAGCATTACATTTACAAATAGTTTTTTTTTTATCAAAAACATCATTGACAACAGTGAACTCCTGATACCTTGAACCCCGGATAACTCGAAAAACTTTCAAGTTCCCCTTGAGCCCTTACTAACACTTTCTTATAAAAATCACTCGATAACTCAAGCCCCTGATAACTTGAACATTCACCTGATAAGTCAAACTGTTTTATTTGTCCCAGTGGCTGATATTTTACCTATAACTTGATCTTTAAAAGAAAAATAATACAACGTCTTATTAAAGTGAATAATTTTTTTTATGAAATCAAACTTATTTGATTTTCTGCATATACTCAAAAGAAATATTTTGACATATTGAATGTTCCGATAACTCAAACATTCTCTAACTTGAATTGATTTCTTGGCCCCCTGAAGGTTTGAGTTATTGGAAGTTATATATATATTTATATATATATATATATATATATATATATATATATATATATATATATATATATATATATATATATATATATATATATATATATATATATATATATATATATATATATATATATATATTGTTTAAGTGACATCGTTAATAATATATTTTATATTCAATTGATTAAAAACATCATGTTCGGCTATATATTATCTTTATTATTATATGGAGATATTTTGGCTTATATAGTATAAACCATTATCAAATTGAAAAAACTGTTATACAAAATTCATAAAAACTAAAATCAAAAATGACCTCATTGCAATGTTGCAGATTTAGACTTAAGTTTAACAAAAAGTGGTCTCCAATGGCGTGTCATCACTAAGTTACCATTGTCGCGATTTGTTGATAATAAACATAATGGACTAACCAATCAGACAAGAATTTTTTAAGATATGTATTTTGTCCCATAAAAAATAACATTTATTTAGACAAAGTTCAATAAACTTGTGAATATTGACAATTTACTTCGCATCTTAAGATTATCTTTATCTTTGCTTAGAATATCAATTATAGAAATTGTTGCTTTATCTAGTGGAATCAATGGATATAAATTAATAATATCAAACGAAACTTGAATTTCATTTTTACCTATAAATCATTCTTTAGCCTCAGATATGAATGAAAAAGAATTTTTTTGTAGTAAATGTAGGTTGTATTATTTCAAAAAGATGTTGCAAAAGTTTATGAGCTGGTTTACCAATAGTTAAAACTATAGTTCGCATAACTAACCTTATTCACTTTTATGTGCTTTAATGCATCCATATAATCTAGGTGGAACAGCGTCAGAAGGATATATTTTATCATAAGTTTTTTTATCAATATTTTTTTCCTTTTTTAATTTACTGAGAGTTTGTTGAATTAAACAAAGAAAAGTTTGTGTAGGATCGACAGCAAAAATAGTGCAGTTACCAAGTTGATATTTGATTTTTTTTATTGCTGATTCTGAATCTAAAATAGCAAATCCACATCCTTTATCAAAAGGGTATATCTTTATTTAGTTCGAGTTTTTTAGTTCATTTAAAGCTAGATATTGATTTTTAGAAAAATTACTAGCTATTTTTACATTTAAAAACTTGTTTAATGTTTTGCTTACATTTTGTCGCAAAAATTCAGCTTTTTCAATATTAACATTTTCCTACAATTTTAAAGCACATTCTTCAGTTGATACTATAATGTCCATGAACAAAATTTGATTTTTTGATGGTACAAATTGTGGGCCAAGATTTAATAAATTTTCCTGGTTGCTAGATAATAACTTAGTAATTGAAATACAACGCTTACAGTGCTCTTATTCACAGGAGTATATCTTAAATTGCGACAATGGTAACTTAGTGTTGACATGCCATTGGAGATCAATTTTTGTTAAAGTTAAGTCTAAATCTGCAACGTTGCAATGGCATCATTTTTAGTTTTAGTTTTAATAAATTTTGTATAAGCCAAAATATCACCATTTAATAATAAAAATAATATATAATCGAACATGATGTTTTTATTCAATTATATATATATATATATATATATATATATATATATATATATATATATATATATATATATATATATATATATATATATATATATATATATATATTTATATATATATATATATATATATACATATATATATATATATATATATATATATATATTTATATATATATATACATATATATATATATATATATATATATTTATATATATATATATATATATATATATATATATATATATATATATATATATATATATACATATATATATATATATATATATATATATATATATATATATATTATATATATATATATATATATATATATATATATATATATATATATATATACTATATATATATATATATATATATATATATATATATATATATATATATATATATATATATATAAGTTTGGACCCTTTTTCATTCATATACAAGATGTCAGATAGGATGGATGACTGGAACCCACCTGAATCATGGAAGAGAATAACTTGCATCATGAGGATTCGTGCCGACCATCAAAATAAGGATATTATGGCTGCTGCCCAATGCTCCCTAAACACAGTAAAAACAATCAGGCATGAAGTAGAGACTTGTTTAGATACTAATGATGATTTCACGGTAGCGAATAAAAAACCCTAATTTATTAGCTTCTATTTAACAGAATATCTTTCTAAATCGGACACGTTAAAAACAACTGTGTGGCAAAGTTTTATTTTCACGGTTGAGAGATCTATACTTTATTATTTATCACAGAGCATTTCTTTACAGAATAAAACGTCGGTAACGTGTAATAGGAACCGTTGTGGCCATGGCAGGAATCTCTATGGCCAAATTCCTTAAATTACGGCAGACACAATGAAATTTTCAGGGGTTTTCTTCTAGCAAAAAAATCCGAAGCTAAGTTGGCTGCCGTTAAATTTAATCTCTATGGCCATAAGCTGTTAAGGGTTTATAAAGTACGTCACGTAGAGTTTGACTCTCTTTTGCCGAGATTTTAGCAATGTTTACCGCGAAATTTTAAAAATTTAAATTTAGCGTGACGTAGTTTATCAATAAACACTAGACGAAAAAAGTCTTAAAATTACTTATATTCTTTTTCTTCAAAAATATTTCAATAATTATTTCTAAAAGTTCTAAAAGATCTTTGATAAAAAATAAATAAACTTTCTAATAAATCTATCTAATTTTAAACTATGTGGCCATGGCCACAATGGCCACCCCTAAGATCCGCGCCTGATAAGTATCATAATTTTTTCTTAATGGTTTATAAACTGAAATAGATTCTTGTTTAATTTGATCTGAATAATAAATATCTAGCTATTAGTCTTTTTTATGAATTACTAAGATTTTCCTTTTATTTTAACTATTTGGGTGTCCTATTATATGTAATGTTGTTAAAGTGGTTACATATATTTATATCATTGACAACATTCTATTGTATTAAATAATCTTTTAATCAACTTGATATGAAAATTGAAAATTGATTGAAAGCATGCTGAAGTTGTATGAATTCAGAAATTGAAAGAGTACAAAATTGGTTGAAAGATTAAATTAAGTAACAGGTATGGTTGAGGGATTATTTATAGTTCTAATTATAGTTATTTCTTTTGAATAGAGTTATCAGATTCAAAGATTGAAGAAGATAATTTTTCTTCACATTTTATTGATGAACACCAAGCAAAGTCCACATTGTCAAAGAGTTTTAAGTTTTATTGTGAGTAGTTTTGGTTTTTACACCATTGAATGTTAATGCGGAGGTCTTTTTTATTAATTTGTTTTTGTATTAAAATAATTGTAAAAGATAGGTATAAAAGAATAGAAATGGATTATTTATAATATTGTGATCCGATAAACCATGTGTGTAGCATTTTATATTTAGTAGTTAAGCAAAATTCTTTAATATCGTAGCCTTTTACAGGATAAAGCTTTAGCTGATTTAAAAAGTAGGTTTTCCAAAATATTATGGCAACTTCTGCGATGGAGTATTAAAAAAAACTTACATGTTTTTTTAGAATTTTAGTTTAAGTTACTCAAGCATAATTTGAATTTTAAAGTTCTTATTTCATTGTTTTGCTATTTAGTTTTATGAGCTAAATATGTTAATCAATCTTTTTATTCTTGTTTGTAGAGATGCAAAATGTTATTCTCAACGAGCTTGCAGAAATAAAAGTTCTTTTAAAAGAACTTATAGAAATTAAGTTTCAGGCTACTGGGGTGAAGTTGCTAGAATTGGTGGATGAAGTGGTTACACTGGATAATAAACTAAAAGATAAAACCGAGTATACTAATTTGGTATAATCTAATTATCTTATTTTTTAATAAGTTTGTTTAAATTTGGTTTATTAGTTTAGAATCTAAATAAAAAGTATTTGTAAATGAACTAAAACAACTAGCTTGTGTTAGACTCAATATGTTGTAAAGAAATTTAAGTTACACTAGTTTTTATTACATTTATTTCAGCTTGATGGTTTAAAAAAGATTGGTGGTGGAAAGCCAAGAGAAAATGTTTTTTTTGATCATGAAAAGGTAAATGATTATGTTTTTATTAATTATTAGAAATATGATTAAAAGGGACCAAAAGCAATTCTTTTTGACCGTATTTGTTATGGATTTACTTTTAGCATGGCAATTTGATAAACTCTCGAGCTTCGCTGTAGGTGTTTAAGTTTGTTTGTGTGCTAAAGTAAGTGTAATGCTAAACCTTGTTTAGCATTTTATTTTCAAATTTAATGCTTTTACCTTTCCTAATTTTAAGCATTCATTTATTAAAATATATTTTAATTTATTACATATATTAAAATAAAAATCTTTATATATTTCAGTTTATTGTTAAAATATTTATCAGGTTATTTTCGAATCAGTTACAGTCCTAATTAAATCGAAAAGGATATCGGGAAAAGATAAGCTTAGAAAATCTAGTAAATATATGGAGTGTTTTACGAGGTATAGTTTTAATAGTATTTACAAAACTGATGAAACGAACTATACTACCACAGCAAACAGTTAAGGAGTATGGAGTCATAGCATGCCATGATATGAGCAATCAGCTGACAGGTGACAGCACACAGGCAGAATTTCGTTGACAAGTGCCATTTTGCAGCATACATATATATACTGTGAAGCATGGCGGAGGCAATGTAATGGTCTGGGGGTGTTTTTCTAAAATTTGAAGAACGTTGTCTCTAAACAGTTACATAGTTATTTCTCTAAATTGAAAAAATACAGGACTTTTATACAAAGAAACTAAATTAGCATCATTTGGTTGCACTGGTTTTGTCCGATACTGTATGTGTGTATATATATATATATATATATATATATATATATATATATATATATATATATATATATATATATATATATATATATATATATATATATATATATATATATATATATATAATATTTCATAAAAATAGATTCAGAATTCTACATATCTTTTAAATTCATTTAAATGTCATTAATGTATATATTTTAGATATCGGCGACGAGGAAGAAAATGTTGACGGCAATGCAGAAATATAGTTTCTTATGTATATTTTTGTGAAATAAAAATTAAGTAATGTTAGTTAAAATGTTTCTTTACTTATTTAATTTAATCCTTTTTTATGACTAATTTAACCGCTGTAACACCTTTGTATCAAACAAGTCCCAGCAAAGAAAGAGATATATAAAATGCATCTAATATGCATCTAAAAACTGGTCTAAAAGACGTCTAAATTCACGTCGTGAACGGGACATAAATAGATGTCTATTTTATAGATGTCTTTTAGATGCATTTTATTCGACACAAGTAAATGCCTTAGATGCATAAAAGATGTGAAATATACATTTAAAGATGTATATTAGATGTATATTAGATGCATAAAAGAGCTATTATTAACTAAAAATTATCTATTATCTATCTTTTTTAAACGCGCCTTAGACATCTATTTAAGAGACGTATTTTATACATCTAATATGCAGCTGTAAAATGTATATTTCACATCTTTTATGCATCTAAGGCAATTATTTGTGTCGAATAAAATGCATCTAAAAGACGTCTATAAGATAGACGTCTATTAATGTCCCGTTCTAGACCTGAATTTAGACATCTTTTAGATCAGTTTTTAGATGCATTTTAGATATCTTTTTGTTTGTTGGGATGTATCACGTAAGGAGGTTTCAGCAGTAATAGCAAATTGTAACCAGTGCAACTCCATCGATCCTTACTCCGTACAGTGGAAGCATGGTCAACTAAGCGTAGAAAAATATTGGAATCGGGTTGCTATTGACGTGACGCATGTAGGTGCTGAATTGTACTTATCAATGATTGATTGAGGTCCATCACGATATACAATATGGCGTAAACTAGTAACTAAAACAGCAACTGAAGTTGTTGGTAAACTTGAAGAAATATTCTCTTTATTTGGACCGCCGGTATGTCTACTTATGGACAACGAATTTTGGTCAACACGTTAACAAGCTTTGCTGAAGAATTAAATGAAATTTTGTAAAACTATTATTAAATTTTAAATTTACAGAATTTCATTTCTCTGTTTTTGTATTTAATTGTATGCCTACCCTATAAGTATGCATTCAGTAAATTTAACAGCTAAATGCATACTTTTAGGGTAGTTTTAAAATCAAATTAACTTCTTTAGACAGAAATCTCAGAGTTTTAGTTTCTGATAATCTTAAACAACAAAGTTAAGTATGATTGTAGTAGTCAAATAAATAAGATTTAGTTCAAATACCTCAGTAAATAGTTTAGTCAAACATCTTTGTCAAACATTAAAAGACTTTTTTGACTTTAGTGTTTTAACTATTTTATTCTTATTCTCTTTTTTTGGTAGAAATAAAATGTCGAATCGAAACATTCATAAAAGTAAAGTCTGGAATTATTTTGTGAAACAAATGACTCTACAATAACAACGTGTAAATATAAAGATACTTTAACAAACGAAATTGAAATAACGAGCAAAAATACAATAGAAATACAAGCTCAATGGCAAATCATTTGTATTATAACCATCGGATTAATATTAAAGAGTCTAAACCTCCAATTACAATAACTAATCATGTATCTATCAAGGTTGCATTTGCAAACTCTCACTCGTATTGTTTAAGTTCGCAGAAATATAGAGATTTATAGGAATCTATGTGTAACTTTTGTCTTCAAACAGGTCGACCGCTGTCAATTATTGATAATAAGTATTTTACTAAATTGCTAGCTTCGTTTGATAACAAGAACAAATTGCGGACGAGACAAATGTTTTCGTATGAAATATTGCCGCTTAAATTTGAATCATTAAAAGTAAAAGTAATGCATCTTTTAAACCAAGCTGATCTTTTCCATCTAACCACAGAGGATGGACATCACAGGCCTCGCATTCATACACCGGCGCCACAATACATTTTGTTGATCATTATTTTTGTTTGAAATTGATTCGGATTGTATAAGCATAGCCCAAAAGCCCATACTAGCCTATATTTAAAGGAGCAAATTGAGTTAATTCTAAATAAATGGAAAAATAGTGATAAAATACTTTCTACGAGTAGTGTACACTGCTGCGAATATCAAACATTGTCTAGAAGATGTAATTAATCAAATGTACATACTTTGTTTTTGTCATTTAAATTTAAATTTAAATTTGTTAAAGATGTCCTTCTAAAAGAGAATGAGCTATCAACTGACGAAAATCATTTTTCATAATTTTAAAGAAATGTAGAAAATTCGTTGGCTTCTTCACACATAATAATAAGTTTCCAGCTCAGATTGTAAATTGTGTTGAGTTCAATAAAATGAAAATTGACAATCAAGAAGATAAATGCTCAATTAACAAATTAAAACAAGACGTTGCTAGTCGGTGGAACTCACCCTTTTTAATATTGCAGTCAGTTTTAAACTTAGCGAATTAATCAAAGACGTTATTATCAAGCCAGAGAACATATATAATAAGGATTTGTTGTTAAAAAGCTGGAAACTGGAAATCATTGGCGAGTTAATTGATTTAGTAGAACCGATACATGATTTTACAAAAACTTTGAGTGAATCGAAATATACCACTTGTTTAGTTATATTACCAGCCGTTTATAAATTAACTGATTACTTTGCTAACTTCAAAATAATTGTACAATTATGAACCTTGCCATCAAAATTAAAGATAATTTTAACCGAAGATGTGAGGATTTTCTTAAAATTGAAAATTAGTACGCAGCTTCATATTTAGATCTGCGTTTTCGTATTAAATTTAAATTTAAAATAAAATTAAAGTTAAATTTCGTATTAAATTTTCGTTTTAAATGTACATTAAACAAATCAACAAAAATTTCTTGTATTAAAAAAGCTCATTATTTAGTTGTTTAATTGAGCCATGAATTGCAGCCATGAATTGAGCCATGAATTGCAGCTAACACCAACAAGCCTTCAGTTAACTAGCCAAGAGTCACCATCACCATCACAAAGAGTCACCATCATCACCACCATCACAAAGACTAAACTTAATCTGAGTTTTTAAAATTAGATATTAAAAAAAAAAATTAATTTAAGTTTATATTAATTCATTATTGCAAACAATAAGTTTCTAAATCATGAATTTTGCCTAAAATTGTAGTAGATAAACATTGGTGCCAGAGTTAGTCCTATGATAATTTAAGTCGCAGCGGCATAAAATGTTTAAGCAAAATTCAGTTAATAGTTGCATACTGCTAAAACCATTTGCTAATGTTTTGCAATTAATTGGGTTGTTAACAGACATGAGTAAGGGAAAGGCGCCTATGATGGCATAGCGCCTATAATGGCATACCGGTTATATTTTCATAAATATTGGTTGTGGCGAAAAAGTGATTAGATCGTTATAGTTAGTTTATTTGTCGTTTTACACATTTTACAATGTTATCTTTAAATTCGAATAAATATATATATAATTACAAGCTGACAGGGGCAAGTAGAAGACATAAAGTCTTATCATCAAGCCCTTTTGTGAAATAGAGAAATATAAAATTTCTAAAATTCCAATAATATAAAAAAGAGTTAAATTAAAAATTTTGAAAAAATAAACAAACATTCAAACAAAATTAAAATAAAAATAAAAAAATTTAAAGAGTTTGAAATAAAGTAAAAAGATTGAAAAAAATTAAAAAGTTTAAAATAAATTAAAAATTAAAAAAAGTAAAAATTAGAAAGAAAAAAAAATAATAATAATAATAATAATAAAATCTCGAAATAAAAAAATAAAAATGTATACAATGCGTAAATTAAAAAGTTTGAATTTTTTTTTACAAATCAGTACATATACGTATACATATTCAATACAAAGCGAAGTATATATTCAAAAATATTTATATATTAAAAAGATTCCAAACGTTATGTAGATTTAAATTCATTTGTTAGTATTTATTAAAAAAAGTTAAAAAAAAAAACAGTCAAAGAGAAAATCAAACAAGAAAGATATATATGTATATATATATATATAAAAAAAAAAAAAAAAGCTTTTTATCAAATTTATCAAAAAAATATTATTTTTAAAAAAATGAAAGAATGTATGTAATGTTTGAGTTTAGTAAGTGTTTTTTTATAGTTCTTTTGAATATATCAATAGATTTTATTTTTTTCATATTTTCGTCAAGAACTGACTTTAACAGATCAACATGTCAATACTGAACTTACGTTAGTTTTTAGTAAAAATACGTCCCTTATGCACAAATATTACTTTTATAATCAACCAAAATCGATTTTGGGATGTGCTGATGTAATTTTAATTCTTTTAAATATTAAAGATTGTGATTTTATAATTAACTGAGCTGAAATGAAGTTTTCATGCATTTTATTTTCAGATTTTGTGCATTTAGTAAAGTACTTATTTTAAATTTTAACTTTTAAACATAGGTATACTGACGAGTTAGGTGTGTTGCAATATTAAAGAGTTAAAAAAAAACTTTTTTTTTTTCATAGAGCAATATGATTGTTAGCGAATTAAAAAAGAGTTTTTAACTTCACTAAAAAATTTTTGGTTCAAAAAACACATAAACGCAAAATCTCGCATGCGCAATGTTCTAATAAGGATGATTACGCGTAATTTCTGGCATTTCTGAGGGAAAACTTTAAGTTCAATGAAATCATCTAGTAACCCTTGATGCTAACTAGCCTCATCTTTCCCTATGCCATCATAGGAGCAGTAGTTTCCTATGATGGCGTACTTGTGCTTTTTTTTTAAATTAAAAAAAAAAACTAATAAAAAAATATAACTGATGAAAACTTCTAGGGTTATTATTGTTCTATATGTAACAAAGAATGTATCCATATCAAAACTTTTGTTCTTGGTCTTCAGGATACTGAATAATGAAGCTTCAAAGTTAAGTATACCATCATAGGCGCCTTTCCCCTATATATGGTGAACAATATAATTAATGTGGGGTGCGATAGTTCACTAAAAAATATTTCACTTGTTTTCTGTCTGGATTTATGCAAATATATAATTTTAGCTAAGCTTACTTTATTTTCAAGGCTTCTCATATATTTTTGCACAAGGCGCCGTCTTACAAATCCGCACATAAGAATAAAATACATTATATGAAGTAATTGTTATATAACCTATAAAAAAAAACTAGTT